TAGGGCATATAAAGCAGCTGTGAAAGAAAACCAAATCAAACTTCTCTTAACATGGCTGGCCAAGGCCAGTGCTGTCCCACTGTTCCCGCACAGAGCTAGAAGGCAAGTGACTCCCTGTCCCTGTCAGTGGGCCCCATCGGGGGCCTCAGCTGAGCCCAGCATGTCCCAGGCAGGTGAGTAAAGGGCCACATTGCAATGCAGAGCCCCAGGTACTGCTCTCAGTTCTCACCAGCCCTCACTTCCTGTCCTGCTGACCCAGTCTGCATCACCTTCTCTATCACAAGGCACAGTGACATCACGAGCCTTTAGAACACTGTCAAATTGGATTCTACACATTCACTTAAACAGTAAAAGTAAAATTTCAAATAATGAAAAGGCTGACACAGTAGCACAACATGGTTTTGGTTTAACAGCAGCTTAAAAATGAACAAAAAGGAAATCTCTCATGCAGACATCAGGTGGCAAAAACAATAGGCAATTTAATATGGAGCATCATTAAACCATTCTCTCTCTTTCCATACACAGTACTGATTGCACCTCAGGGGCAATAGCTGGTTCATGGTTAAGTCTCGAGCCCTCTCACCCCAGGCCAAAGCCCTTTCTCGAAGGCCTCCAGCTGGCCCCCTCCAGAGAAAACCCAAGCTCTCAAGAGAATGACCAAGTGTGAGTGCCCTTGGTACAGCACTTACTACAAATTTCAATCCCTCCCCAACCAGTTGGGGTATAAGATGCCATCTAATTGGAATATGAAAATTAAAGCATTTCTCTAACAACACAGTACCACTGATGAAGTCTCCATAGATTTTCTAGTCCAAAGATGTGATGTGTGTGTGTGTGTGTGTGTGTATATATATATATTATATGAGAGTGTATAATATATATATATAATAATTTCTATATATTTTAGATAAATTACATATATATATCTGTATATAAATAAGATACTTTCTGTCGCCATGATATCGCACCATTCGGAGCTGCATGACAGCGGTACGGACAGGCGGAGACGCAGGAGCACCTCATCGTGGTGCGCTGAGCTCATGTCAAAACCAGGCAGCTGTCCGGAGTCTATCTTTCCATTAGTCCTCCTCTCTTCTCTTCGCTTCTGCTTGATTTTTATGAAAACAATGACTCTGATGGATTTGCACCTGTGCTAGTGCTTGGGAAAGGTCCATGCAGGAATGGGCACAGTCACATGATGAGTGAGATGGCATCATCCCCCCAAAATAAACTCAAACAAAACAAAAATTTAAAAAAACAGAACGGGACTAGAAAACAATTTTTTGACATATCTAAAAAAGGGGATAGGAACAATAGTCATTTGTTCTCCCCATGGGGACAGGAATGAAGAGGGAGGAGGGAAGAGGGGCTTGATTTCTTCTGTTCATAAGAGAAAGGATGGAGGGGCTTCTTCAGAGTTTTTCAGGGGATGGGACCCAAATGTAGTGCCCAGACTGGTCCTCAATGATTTGCTTGATCTTGTTATAAATCTCTTCCAGTGAGTCACCCTGTACAATGGCTAGAGTGAAGAGGAAAACAGAATTATTACTGTGGTCCACAGCATCCCCCGAAACCCCAGCAATCTGGCCTGTCCCAACAGGCCTACAGCTCAGCCCGGCACGCAGTGCCCGCATGGCCGCGGGGTTGGTGTCGCTAGGTCGCTATCTGTGAGCCTAGGTAGCAAGGAAAACTGGTAGGCACTCCCAGCTCAGGGCTTGAAGTTAATTTGCTGAGACAGTGAGACTAAGTAGCAATGAACAGGAAACTGTGTTGCTCACAAACTTTTACTGAGTGCCCATTAGATGCCAGACCTTGCAGCTCACGCTGCCCTTGGCCACGGGGAAGCCAACAGCTGGTAGTTCTCAAGCAGCCATAACCAGAAAACTGGGAAAATCCCAGTTATAGAGAAAGAGCTGGAAGACATGATTTCTGGCAAGAGACAGTGCTCCTGGGGCAGTCACATCTGCTCTCTTTCAGAGGTCAGCCCAGCACACAAGGACGCGGATGCTCACAGTAAAGGGGACTCTCCAAAACCCAAGGGATGACAGGATAGTTACAGATCCTGTCCCGGTTCACTTAGTAATGCCCCTGCTAGAGTTTACTCTGCACCAACCTATACATACATGTCACTGTACATGAAAAGGTAAGCAACATGTTACTGACACCCTGCCAACCTCTGAGGAACTGACCTCCATAGTCACGTGCACACACATGCTGACAAACAACTTGAACACACACCAAGGAACCATCATCAACAACCAACGTTTATTCAGCACCTAAAGCATGCAAGGCCAAGTACTGGAAGTGGGAAGAGGGGAACATAGTCATGTAGGGAGCATCCACTCTACTAGGCACATGAAGACAAAAAAACCCCAAATGATCTAAGGCAGTATTGGTGATGGTGGTTGATACTATAAACTGGGTAAAGTGCTCTGGCGGGCTGCAGGCCACTCGAGTACTTTGGAAAGGTATGAGCTCAAAAGCCCCCAGAAAGTATGCGAGGTGGCTAAGCCTCGTGGAGACCCTTATAGAACAGGTGTTGACTGGTCCCATATGAGCCAGACTGGGCGGCTGAGGTCTTTACCTGTGAAGTATTCTCCGAACTCCTGCTCCAGCTTCATGGCTTTGTCATAGATCTTATTTGCTTGTTCATATGTCTGCCGTCGGTTCATTTCCCTGCCAATGACAGAAGAAATGTAGTACCAAACTAGATTCTATGTTCTGATTAACACAAAATGTTATTCCAGGCTCCCTGAAAACCTGCTCAGCTGCCCTCTGAGAGGAGCATGGCCCATGGCTCCACATGTTCCTCAAACCTTCCAAGTCTAAAAGCTCACCCAGAAACACAAGTGTGTCACTCACACTGGGAGCCCTAGGGGACCAGAGCTGGGGCGCAGACCTCCCTTTGCACTTCTGCTGGGGCACCCACCAGCCCAACCAATCACTTCATTTTCTGTTCCCTTTCCAGAGCCCTCTCCTATTCAGGAGTGCGAGTCTCAGCAAATACTTACATAAGTGCTTCAATGGACTTGGGCTTGATGAAAATGGCAATGGGGTAAAGTTGTGCTTGCTGCAGCCTCTTAATAGCATTGCCGGAAACATCTAAGATGCAGTGCTTGCCCTGGAAAAGCAACGCCTTGCATCAGCCCACCCAGACCCTGTCAACTGAACCCCAAGCACTTCCCCAGTGGAAACCCCAACATCCCCCTAGGTGGAACCCAGAAAAGCCTAGAAGATTCTACCCCAGAGGTACCTACCCAGGCTCCACATTTTGCTCCTACTACCCAGAAAAGGCCAGGCCCACAGAGGGATCCCTATTCAAGTGGGTGACACTCTGGAGTGAGATGTATGGAGGAGACAGGCAGACCCCTCCATCTGGGGGCTGGGAACATGCAGGGCGGGCATGGCTTTGGTCAACAGCGCTGCTTGGTAGGCCCTGTGCTGGGAGAATGAAGATCCCAGCGGAGCTGTGGCAGGTAGCCTTCTGTGCGCCCTCTGAGCATTACTTATCTAGCAGGGCTATCTCCTGTCCTTACCCTCTCTGCCACTGCGCGCACTGACTGGATGCTGGTCCCATAGAGATTATCATTGAATTGGCCTGCCTCGATGAACTTGTTGTCCTGAATGTCCTTCTCCATTTGTTCTCGGGATACCACGAAGTGGTAGTCCTGGCCGTCCACCTCATTCTCACGCCGAGGCCGCGTAGTATCTGAAGGAAGAAAGGAAACGATGGGCAGCCCAAGGACAATGACATGCTCCTCTCTCACCTGGGTGCCAAGGCCACTCCAAAGGTGAAATGAGTGGGGGAAAGCAGCTGGGAAGAAGCTTGTCTTGCCTACTTCTCCTCTAACCGCAACTCTCACACATATGGGCTGTTTGTTTTAGGTTCAACTAGACCATAAAGGTGGGGTTTCCTGGACCAAGGCCTGGCAGAGGTAGCAAAGGTGGTACAGGAGCAAGCGAATGTAACGAGCTGCCCAGTGGGCCATGCCAACACCACTTGGGCTGGGCCTTGCACTTGTCCCACCATTCCTGACCATCAACACCCAAACATTTCCCAAGGGAGTGAGCAGACTGCTCTGACGTCTTCCTCCAACCTCATCAGCTTTGGGGGAATCTAGTGCTGCCTAATCTCTTCTAGGGTATTAGATGCACCCTGTTTCAAGGGCACCCTAGAACGTGGTCTCACACCATTTCCATAACATCACAGCAACAAATCCCAGGGCACCAACACCCCATACCCACAGCCTTCCTGGGCTCTTACGTGGCACACAGGATCCAAACTTATGCGGGAACTCTGAAATCAGGTCATCATTGACTCTGTCCTTCATTGGGCCAAGGATGATCACGGGTCTTGCATAGTGAACTGGAGAGAGAGTGCATGGAGGTAGTGAGCAAGGCCCCCACTGGATGGCCTGCTCTACCTACAAATCTGCCCAGAACACTGAAGCTCCTGTTCAGACAGCACAGTGTCCACAGCCATTTGCCGGCTTTTTAACTACAAAGACATCCAAGAGGCTTTATTTGAAAATATCTAAGTCTAAGGCATCTCCCCTTCCAACATATTCAGGAGAAATCTCTGTATGGACACCAGCAGCTAAGCAAGGTTCTTTCAGAGCAGCCACTGAAGGGATGTGACCAGGACCTCCCTTTTAGCAGCGGCTACAGCTAGTGAAATTGCCCTGTCATCCTTGTAAATCTGTCCTACCCTTTGGAAGGCACCCTGGCAGCGAGCACAGGTGCGGTCAGGGGTAAGGGTGCGCACCAGGAGGCCGCACACCTCCAACAGGAAGAAGGGGAAGAGGACGAGGCCCCGGGGCTGCATGTGCCCTCCTGCTCCCCCATACTCTTCCCTGACACCATGTCCCACCACTGTGTTGGGCCCCATGACTGTGAGACTGGCTAGAAGACAAGATTCTCAGAAAAGGGCATACTTTCTTGCCGAGTCACTGGTTCATATGACAAAATAGCATCCTCTTGTCCCTCTGCAACAAAAAAAGGAGACATGTTAGCACTCCCTAATCTGCCTGTGTCCTTGTCTTCCTACACCACTTACCTCACTCCCACCTGTGCCAGAAAACAGCCTAGTCGAGTCGTGCCTACTCACACCTGCCCCGTGGGCCTGTCTGCTTCCCGTTGGCAAAAAAGCACAGGAAGCCTTCACCGCCCCAGGACAGGAGCTAGGAGTCCTCTTGTTCAGCGAAATATAGCTGAACAAACAGACGCAACCCAGAAATCACGAAGCCTGCACCAGAAACCACCCCAGTGGTTCCTGAGCACAGGAACTGTTCTTATAGGTAACAGTCACCTGTGCTCAGTTGCCCTCTTGCTCTGGTAAGAATCACAGGGAAGCTTCAACTGGTCTAGACACACTCCCCGCGCCAGCAGGCAGAGAGTCAGGACACTCCTGCAGGTCCCCAGAGCTGCAGCCTAACTTTGGCCTTTTAAGGGTCTATCTATCCCCCACTCACTGGAAGAAGCATCCAGAAAAGTGGCACAAGGCTGGGCTAAGGTCCCAAGTGCCCTTTAAGAGCCAAGCTGAGGCCTGTTCTATCCTCATGATAGAGCTCCATATATCCTAGCAATCATGAGCTTTTCCCAAAACATTGCCAAGCCACTCGGTGCAGGGTGAATGGAGGTCCCAAAGAAGCTGGCAGCTGGCAGCAGTGCCGGGGAAGGCAGTGATGCTTGCATCAAGCCCCAGGATGCTTGCTCACAGGCTTCCTCTGAGCCGAAGACTTCTGGGCAGATTTTCTGCCAGGAGGCCAGTGCTCCCAAAGTTCATGGGGTTTGCATTGTGGCTTCTCTGGCTTCGTCACAGGATCTCTGAAGGCAAAGGGGGCAGTTACCTGATCATTTAACCCAGCTTAAAGGCAAGGACATTAAACCTTAACCAAGGAGGGCCTACAACTTGGCAAGGCAATTCAGGACAATATCCCACAGGAGCCATTTTTCCTTTGGTCTTTGAGCAAATCTGTAAACCTGGCAGCACCTACGGCCCATAATACCTGTGGCAGGGATTTCCTCACTGGAAGCTCACCCTTCCCAGGGCCCCAGGGATGTTTTAAGTGAGGTCCCAGCCAGGACATCAGGCTTCTACTCTCCTTTTATCCGAGGCCTGAAGCCCATCCCACAAGGACAAACTGGCCACAGCATGTCCAGGATCTGAAAGTGCACATGGCTAAAAGAAGCACTAGCCTCTGAACAGAAACAGCAGCCTTGCAATGCTGGAATGAGGGTGGCTGGGACACATGGTGGCGCAACACGACATGGGGGAGAATGACACACACTTACTGGAGCTGCTTTCGCTGTCACTGGTGTTGGATGTCACTCCCTCTGCAAGCCAACAAGAAAGAGACTCCAATTCAGAACACACCCCTGACAGGTCATACGCGGCACAACTCTCAAATGCTCCAGGAGAGAGACACTGAGCCATCAACCAAGTCAGGCAACAGGACACCTGCCACGTCCAGGCTACCAACTGAGAGACACAGCTCCGGCCCTAAGCATCAGCTACCTCATACCAGTCCCCAGAGTCCTCTTGGTCTGCCAAGTCCCTCCCTATACACTATAAGCCCTCCATTCTTTGGCAGCTTCCTCTTAATCTGAATCCAAAGACCTGACAATGGATGGCTTCCAAATCTTATGTCAAAATGCATCTCCTAAGACTACCAATAGGAAAGGCAGTGACAATAGCAAAGAAAAGTCCAGGGACAAGGCTACTCTTGAATTTCCCTCCCAGATAGAGGCCCCAAAATACAGAATTGCATGGTGCTACCAAACTTCAAGGCTAAGCACTGGGTAGGCTAAGCAGTCACCAGGTAACAATGCTTTGACCACTTGGTGGGACCAACTGCCCTCCTGCCACCACTACCTAAAAGGAGGGCATAGCCTCAGTAGTGAGGGGGCGCTCCCCCATCCACCCGAAAACAGACGTGGCAAAACACAAAGAACACTTGGAGGACAAGACAGCTCTCCTTGTCTTGGAGCCTTGGGACCTGCCCACATCTGGGCTGGGCTGAGCAGGCACACTCACAGGAGGCATAGGCACAGTCTGGCTGAAGCAAAGTCCACCACTCCCCAGACAGCAGGCAAATGGAGATGAAACATGGACACAACAAACTATGGAGAGAGACATTGCTCATTTCAGCCAAGATGGCACTGTTCCAGACCATGATATGCTGTGGCCTCCAGGAAGGACAGGCTGACTTACCACCCACGGCTAGTTCCTGAGCAATCCCTTGAGGAAGCTCTCCACCTTCATACCTTTAGGACTTATTGAGGGAGAGGATATGCTCACGGAAGCTGCCCAGCACAGCCACATGTATGTGTGCCTCTGTGCACAGTGGGGAGGCTAAGGCCCTGTCATCTAGGTCCCTTCGTTTTCTACTCCAGGATTCTTTTCAGAGAGGAGAGGTCAGTCAGGGTTCTCCTGAGCTAAAGCACTAGATATACATGGTCCACAAATGCCGCTGAAGACCCCTCCAGCTCGCCCCTTAGAGATGCTCTGTGGAAAGCCTGCCCATGTCTGTTTGTTGAGGTCCCTGGGCCTGCTGGGAGATCCCAGATGCAGGCTGGGTAAAGGACTTCACAGTGCTCTTGCTCCTAGTTAGAGAGACTGAAACAGCTCATTCTGAAGCCCAATGCTTTAGTGTTGGGTCACTGGGAGAAGCCTCCAACCGGCAGGTACCCCTCACCTCAACACTAGGCTAGAGATGAGCTGAGTAGTCACCCTGTAGAAGTACTTTTTGCGAACATTATTTATAAGGTGGGATGCCAAGTGGTGGGCTCCCCATCACTTCAAGGTACAAAAGGAAAACACAGACATGAATGACAGGCTTTTATTACGGTATCAGGGATCCAGAGCAGAAGTGTGACATTCACAGCCACTTGTACTTCCTCCTGCTGTGGCATCAGAGTTCTCACAAATATTGCCCTCCCCTCACCCTTCACCCTTCCCCACATCCCCTATAACCTCAACCCCAGCATTTCCACTCATGCCCAAAATACAGTGAACGGTGTGTACAATTGACTTACTCAGGTTCTTTGCTCCATAATAATCGTCACTTAACCCAGGGAAGTCCTGATTTCATAGACAGCAAGGACAAAGAGGGAAGGAGGGAGGGAGGCAGGGACGGAGAGAGGGAGAAAGGGAGGGAGGGAACGAATTAGGGAGAAGAGAGAAAATAGAGAAAAAAGACAGGGGAAGGAAGAATACAGAGCCAGGTGAGCATTAGTGACAGAAGTATGAAATACTATGAAGACCTATAGCTACAGTGAGGTTAAGAACTTTGCTACAGAGAGAACGTCCCAGGTCAAATAAGATACCTGACTTCACTTGCTGCTAGAGGCCTCAGAGTGGACTTTTTCTCAGGTGGCCTACAGGCCGACAGGACAGGTTACTTTCCAAGGCTTGGAGCACATGCTTTGACTAAATTTTTTTTATAGAGCCAGGTCTCTGCTTTGCCCCCGAAATCACCATTTCCCTCTATAGGTGCATGAAAGAGCAAACACCTATGTGTGGTAGGTAGGCAGGCAGAACTGTCATCATCCCAAGGAGCTTTCTTCCAACACTGATTCACTCTGTCCAAAGCCTTTAGGGAAAGCTTCATGCAGTCTGAGTGTGACTTTCAAAGCTGGCCTGAGTGGTGTAGACCATAGGGGATGAGCTCAGTTTCCAGAGGATAAGCACTAGGCAGCTTCAGCTCTCATCCAACAGGTAAACCTACACGTCAGCTGGGCCACCCAACAGCGTACCCTCATCTGGTGAACTGAAGTGACCGTCTCCTAGTGCTCCTTACTGAAATTCCTGGAATTTTGAGCCATAACCTTCATCTGCATGAGGGCATCCTTGTATCTACTAGCAACCACACTAGATGGCAATGACCTACACATACCAAGACCATGAATCAGGTTGGCCTAGAAAAAAATGACATTCCCTATTGGAACTACTATAGTCCCAATAGCCCAGGACCCCAAGACCCCTCCTTGTGAGGCAGAAGAGAGGTTTACAATTCACCATGAGTCACATGAGAAATATTTCACCAGCCTGACCTGATATTTAAGGTCAGGTCAGAGCAGTTAATTTCTGAGGCATATGTCAGAGTATGAATATTCTCAGGATTAAATTGGTTCATAAAAAGTTCATTTAGTCCTCGCCAGGTGGCTCAGTTGGTTAGAGTGTCATCCTGTACACCAAAAGGGTGCGGGTTTGATTCACAGTCAGGGCACATGCCCAAGTTGTGGGCTCAATCCCTGGTGCAGGCAACCAATCAATGTTTCTCTCTCATACTGATGTTTCTCTTTCTCTCCCCCTCCTTCCCTCCTTTCCTCTCTCTCTAAAAATCAATGAAAACGTGGCCGGTTTGGCTCAGTGGTTAGAGTGTTGGCCCATGGATTGAAGGGTCTCGGGTTCAATTCCAGTGAAGGGCACGTACCTCGGTTGCAGGCTCGATCCCCAGCCCCAGTCAGAGCGCGTGCGGGAGGTAACCAATGTGTCGCTCTCACATCAATGTTTCTCTCTCTCTCTGTCTCTCCCCCTCCCTACCACTCTCTAAAAAGCAATGGAAAAAATATCCTCGGGTGAGGATTAAATACAAAAGTTCATTTAGCTCAGCTATATGGTCTTTTCTACCAAAGCAGCTTCGTGTTTCTCAATAAATCTTTATTTGGAAAATGCTGAGTACTCTTTCTTCCATGCCAATTCCTTCAGGAAGAAGGATTTTATTTTGAAAGCTGGCTTTGTAATCACTCTGGGATGACATAGGTCTGTTAGAGCCATGTGGACATCCTGTGTGCAGATGCACGTGTGTGTGATTCGAGTTGTAGACCCAACTCCAGGCATCCAGCAAAGAAAAGACTCTTCTCTTGACATAGGTGAGTGAAGTTAAGGAAAAGAAAACACAAGAGGAGGAAGCCAGGAGAGCAACACTGAGCCCCTAGACCTGGTTGTCTTGAAAATCCAATTTTCCAAAGCCGACACTGTGGCTGAGAACTGCTTATCGCTACCATAGTAGGCCAGCCCTGGAACCAGTTCCACTCAGAACCTCCAACATTCTTTTGGAGTGATAAGCTGGACAAAAGACCCAGCGTCTCCCTGTGCAGACCAACTGCTACCCTGCCTCTGCTAACAAGCAGGTACACATGCACACGCATGCACACATGGACACGCCAGCACACGCATGTTCCCAGTCCTCTCACAAGGGGAGGTGCAAATGAAGAAAAGGGCGGGGCTGTGCGCCGGCTGCTCTCTGTACCCTGCTGCTACTTACGTTCCTGTATGCTGCTCTCCTGGGCCATGTTTTCTTTGCTCTTGTAAAATGGAAACTTTCGAGAGAGGCGGAAACTCTTTTTACGTTTCGTTTTGATCGACTGTGAAAGAACATGAAGATGGAGGGGAAGGACAGAAGGAAAAAAAAAACAGAACAATGGATTTTAAAGCATGCAAGAAAAACTAAAATGGAGACAATGGTGAGCTAAATAAAAGATCATTTTTCACAAATGGAGTCTATGAGATTAAATGAAAGTTGATGTAAGAGGAAAATTATGTTTACAGGAAAATGTTGTAGGGATGTTAGACATTTCTACCTAATCCAGACTCACAGCACTCACTGGTACTTCCTAAAGCACAAAGGTCACTGTAGCCTCCTGGACACATGCCCTAAGGTGCCACTGATAAACAGAGTCATTTACTCCATGTCTGTCTTCCCTCTATTGCGCCGGAACTTCTTTGGCCTGCGAAGCTCATAGAAGAACAGGGGTGAATGGAAAGAGCCATTAGGCCTCATTTGGTCTGAAGGGCGGTCAAGAGCTGTAGGGCTACCTACTGGGCTGGATGATGAGGCCTGCTGAGGGTCCCCACAGCTCCGACAGTGTCTGCAGCCAGGGAGGCACCCACAGTGGTTTCATGTGCCCCAAGCCAGTCAGCCTTTCAGATAGTCCGACTCCATTACATCTTCAAGAGCCAGTTCCCCAGAAGGAGTACACACTGGCCAGAGAGTTTGAGTGCCCACTCTCTGCTCTCATAAAAGCAGTCAGTATGCTGATAGGACAGAGTCGGCCCCTGACAAAGAGGGATTCTTTTGTGGTCCCCAGTTCTCTTATCCACCACGCAGACTCCAAGCTTCTTACTCCTCTTCACATATTGGCTGACTTCCTTGGGGATCCCCACTTACCCTGTTAGACTCAATCATCCCCGTCCGGGCATGGAACTTCACAGTTTTCAATCGAGCTCGCTCTTTCTTTTCCACCCTGTTTTGGAGTCAGAAACAAGTCCTATTACTGCCAGTGGATAGTCTCAGCAGTGGGTTGCAGAGGGCACAGCAGCCACTTTTTGTCCCATTGAGTCATAACCATGTCCTGAACACCAACTCTCTACCAAAAAGGAATAATAAAGCACATCCCCTGCTCTCAAGCAACTTACAGTTTAATAGGCAAGAAAGAAATCAGTACCAAGGAGAGGGTGAGGAAGGCCTCTCTCATGATTATGACAACTCACCTCTTCTTACTGGGTATCACACCGATTTGCTCACTTTCTCCATGTGGGGTCACCAGTCTTGCCTGCCACCACTCATCATCTGAAGCATTGACGACATGCAGAATGTCACCATAGGAGAAGCTGAGCCCCTGGCTTGGCAGGCAGCTGTCCCGAGTCCGGTCATAATCAAACAGGGCCCTGAAATGCACAGTGAAAGATGAAGTGATCATCCCAACCCTCAATGCCAGGAGGCTGGCACTCTGAAAGGAGGGCATTGGAAGGCCAACCCAAAGAGCGCAGACCCAGTGGCCTCACAGCAGCTGAGACGGAATTCTCTTCTGTCAGTCCCGACATTAATATGTGCCCTGTTCTCAAACAAACATTTCATTCTCTCATCAAGGAAAAATCTTTCTCAACTCTCATCTCGTCCCAGCTTCTAGACACAAGGTGGAAGTCCAAAGTAGAAAATACTCAATAGTCCTCTCCCTCACCCACATCCTAGGGAAACAAACTAGCTCTACCAATGGGCTTTCTCGATTTACAAATTTACAAATGTAGCCTCAAAAAGCAGGTGAAGAAAAGACATAAAAATGTTAACTACAATCCCAAACAATGAATGGTATAGAATGGTGTAGAAACATAAAAGAGAAAAGGGCCCTGTGTCCTGGGGCAGCCATGGAAAAAGCTAAGGCTGACGTTGACCCACATGATGATAAAGTTGAAAGGGACCCTATGAAGAAGTCTCCTAGTTCAGTCTGTGTCTCATATATACATATATGGAAATGGAGAGTCAGAGAGGAAGAATAATTTGATGTAGGTCATACAGCTAACTAATGTGGGACAGAAGTCAGGTCCTGTGACAAGACATACAGAGTAAAGAGATAAAGGGGACAGTAGAAGAAGGTGGGGAGGGAGGTATACCATGCAGGCTTGAGAAAAAGGAAGTGCAGCTGGGAGTCATCGGAAATGAGGTTGGAAATAAAGGTTGGGGGCAAATTTTGGAAGGCCTCTGAAGATTTGAGAATAGAGAAGAGATACATCAAGACAGACTTAGGAACATGAATTTGACTTCATATGTAATGGGATAACAGGGGAGGGGTGGATTTGAAGGCAAATTTAAACCAAAGCTACAAGCTCAATCCTTCAGGATCTATCGCTTACTTTGGCTCTAGTGAAGCTGGTCCTTTACACCAGCTCCTACTCAGGGAACAACTCGCCTGCATGAAAGTATCTCCTTTTCTCCTCCACTGCATCTCTCCTCATATGGAGTCCCCACAAATGGGTTATTTCAGTGAGAAGTTTGTATTTTTCTACTTGCAACCTAGGCTCTCACTATCTTCTGCATTTTCCCGTTAACACCTTTGCACCCCACAGACTGGTAGACTTCCCAGAACTAGTCTAAGACTTAGACATCTCCCCACATGCAGGCCCAAATGAAATATAGAATGTAATAAAAAACTGTGGAAAGTGAAATACCCATTGTCTTTTGACACTTCTTGAAACAGAGCCCTTAAGAAATTAGTGTCAGGCCCGGCTGGTGTGGCTCAGTTGAGCATCAGCCCGTGCACCAAGAGGTCACAGTTTGATTTCCAGTTAGGGCACATGCCCAGGTTGAGGCAGCCAATCAATGGTTCTCTCTCATCAGCGTTTCTATCTCTCTCTCCCTCTCCCTTCCTTTCTCTCAAAAAATCAATTAAAAAAATTTCACCAAAAAAGAAATCAATGTCAGATTTAAAAATGAAAATACCCAAACTCTGAAAAAAGTCCTTTATCTCCCTTGTCAAGTTACACACTCAGACCAGTAAGGAGAGAGGCCAAGGCCAGGAGATGAAGGAGGCACTCGCTCTGTACATGAGGTTCTGAGTTTTGTGTGACACAATCAAATCTGAATGTGTTTGCACTTCCTGAAGCAAGGAAGGCATTCTGGAAGTTGTTCCTAGTGACAATGAGAAACACTAAATGGCATTATAGGCTTCAAAGGTTATAACAAATGTAGTAAGAAAAAGAACAGAACTTGGATGAAGCACAAATTAGTTTGGGAAGGGATGGAAGCAAGATGTTAAAAATGACTAGGAGAGATTGGGATGAGGCTGTAGAAGATTAGAAGTGAGAGTTTACTGGTTACAAGTTTAAAACACAACAAGAAAAGGGGAGAATAGGCAAATAATTAATATTTTTGTGTATATTCTATTAAAATAATTGAGATTTTAAGTTATTCATTAATTTCTATCACCATTTATGCCCCTTTACCCTCTTTTACCTCTCCCCACCCATTTCCTTCTGGTAATCACCATACTGTTGTGTCTATGAGTATTTTTTTTTAAATGTCTTTATTGATTTCAGAGAGAGGAAGGGAGAGGGAGAGAGGGAGATAGAAACATCAATGATGAGAGAGTCGTCATTGATCAGATGCCTCCTGCACACCCCCGACTGGGGATCGAGCCCACAACCCAGCATGTGCCCTGACTGGGAATCGAACCTCGATCTCCTGGATCCTAGGTCGACGCTCAACTGCTGAACCACACCACTCGGGCTATGAATTTTTTTTTTTTTGCTTCATCCCTTCACCTTTTTCACCCAGTTCCCCAACCCCGCTCCCCTCTGACAGCTGTCATTCTGTCCTCTGTATCTAAGAGTCAGTTTATATTTTGTTTTAGTTTATTAGATTCTACATATAACTGAAATCATATGGTATTTGTCTTTCTCTGACTGGCTTATTTCATTTCACATAATAATCTCCAGGTCCATCCATGCTGTTGCAAAAGGTAAGAAAAATATCAAGTCTTAGAAAAGAAAAATCACATTTAACATAACTTAGAAATAACCACTCTTCATATTGTTGTGGTATCGTATAATATTATATAATAAACACACAAACAAAAAAATACACATTTCACTAAGTTGGAAACATGGTGTGTATATACAATTTTGCAACCTTAGTTGTCACTTGAAATTATATCATTAATATTTCCCATATAATTGAATATTCTTCAAAACTAATATTTTTAATATTGATACAATATTCTATTCTTAAGGATCTTCATTAATTAAACAAATATTTATGAGCATCTAATATAACCAGGCACTCTTCTGGGCACTTTAAAAAAGAGGGGAAATTGATATACCAAGCACCTGGCTTGAGTCATTTACTTCAGATGAGGCACAAGTCTGGCTCTAAGTTCCCCGGCAAACAAGGCAAAAAAGGCAATTTCCCAATAAAAAGTGGTATCCATATCTGTCTGAATTTTACCTGAAGAATTTCTGAATGAGAAATACTGAGCAACAGAACTGACAATGCTTTTTACACTGTGATTTTGTCAAAGACATAGCAGCATATTTGAATTTAAAATTCTGATCATTCTCAGCTGAGAATGTGAAAGATGAACTAACAAATTTTCCTTTTCTATCATAACTGCAAATGGGAAAAGAGCTGAGTCTCAGCGGTCATCTTGTCCCACTTCCTATCTATTAAAGGGAATTCCTTCGAACTTCTCTAAGTTTCTTTCCAGCTCTAGCATTTAATGTCTCTGAGTCTTTCCTAGGTCTTCTCTATCAGGCTAAACATTCCTAATTCCTTCACTGGTCCTTCCATTGTCATAATTTTGATTTGTTTTCCAAATCCTTGATGTGAATTCTCTCTAAACCCACTTTGTCTCTTTCCTGCTGAAAATTTGTTTGTCAAACTAGAAAACTTCCTCACAGATGATGAAAACCAGGCCCAGAGACACACAGGGCCTTACGGAGAGTTGGATGGCAGGTGACTTTCAGACTTGGGCTCTTAAATCTCAGAAAAATGTCACGAGGTCTCAGTCACAATAATGCTAAAAAGAAAGAAAAAAAGAAAGAGAAAAAAAGCTAATGCTCTATTTGGCTATGTCTAGAAAATACCTTTCTTCCATTATTTAAATACTCATTGAGTCCACTCTGCATGGGGTATTGTGTTCGATAGATGGGAGATCCTGGCCTGTAGAGCGTGCTGTCTGGTAGAGCATATTGTAGTGAGAGGCACAAAGCAGGACAAATCAAGGCCTAAAAGCATTCAGGAGCATAGATCACATCTAGCTTGGGGACGCTATAAGGAGGTGCTAACTTTTGAGCTGAGGCTCAATGAAAGTTCAGGATTTCAAAAGACAGAGATGGGAGAGGCCTTTCGGCTAGAGGGAACTCCGTGAGCAAAAGCACGCAGCCTGGGTGTGTTTGCAGAGCCAGCAGCGCCTGCATGTGGCCACGCCACAGCGTACTCTGGGGGGTGGTGAGCCAAGCCTGTCCATGGATAGATAGCCTCAGTCCCCTGAGAAGTCTGGCATTCATTGAGTAGGCCTTCTGTAACTGACTTCATTGCCTTGGCTTTTTTTTTTTTTTATCATCACCAGACTAAACTTTCACGTGGAAAGTAACCCAGTAAAAGAGCACAGGTTTGAGTAGTAAAGTCAAACCATCTTCTGAATGGCATATATTTCATGTAACTGAGAAAAGTATGTACATTAGACTTTAATGAATTTTCAAAAAATATCGACTACCTATGTAAGTTCTTTAAGAAGCATGCTAACCTGTGGCCACCTAGCAGTGACAGTCTCTCTTCCAAACAGCCTGGAAACCTAATGAAGTGATGGGAATTGGCACCCTGTTACAAATGTCTTGGGTTAGGCCTGGTAAGAGGATGAAGGAGCACCTTTCTCTAAAACTAGAGAAAGTCAAAGTAGATACCATACTGCTGCCCCTTTTCAACCAAACAACCACTGTCCTGGAACTGAAATCCTATACATGTGAGGCCCAGATGATACAGTGACCAAACTTTTTAATCTCTGACTCAAAAAGAGAGTGAGCAGGAAAAAAGAAGAAAGCAACATCTATTTGTCTGCAGACACCTAAAGAAAGACCATAATGAATCATTCTGTCACTTGGCCCCACCCCACATGTGTGAACTTACTGACAAGCTGGTGTGTTGGGAGACTAGAAGCCTCAGAAAGCCTTTATTCTTTCTGGGTCTAGCTAAAAAGAATTTCATGGAGGCCTCCAAGTTAAGGACTGGTCAGGTCGGTGGGAACACTGTGTCAAGAGAGAACAAAGCTTGTGAAAACAGCCTAAGGTCACAGTGAGCGGTTACATGAAAGATGACTGTTCAACCCTGAATATGTTCTTCCTTGGTTATGGCCATGCACCTCTGTGAAGCCAGGGAGAGTCAGGTCCTGGGTTTC